CCACCACCACCACCACCGCCACCACCCCCACCACCACCACCACCCCCACCACCACCACCACCACCACCACCACCACCACCACCACCACCACTACCGCCGCAGCTGATGCTACCGCGACAACGATGCCAACCATGACCTTAAAGACCACAGTAAAAATGACGACGAAGAAGCATCAAAGCAAGCATGCTTCATGTCAGCATGGCTACGCTCGGCAACCCAAGTCCTCGTGGAGGAGCACATTCGCTGGGCGCGCCGCAGTTGGCCAGGAACCTTTCTCCAAAACAGTCCGTCATTGGAGAGGTTCTACCGCTCATCGCGGACAGACTTACAAAGAGTATACGTAGGGTTACACGGCCTTCGAAATGTCTCTAAGATGTCCTTTTGAAAGGCCGCCGGACAACAGAAACCTCAACCTCGGAAAATCTAACGAGCCTACTGTTGGAGTGCGATTTGTACAGCGGGCTGACAGGCGGTAAAAACAGGTGTCGGTCAAATAGCTAAGACAAAAAGCCCAAGACCTGTGCTCGGACTACCCAGGGCCCTTTTAGAACTCGATTCAATGGCTCTGACAGTTCGAGTCTCTTTTCTGACGTCATGCTCGTGTAAGCTCCATTAAGCTTTCTGCCCCGTTTCCCTGCACCACCACGGTTCAGGAGCTGAGTCCGACGGGCAAAGGGTTTTGGATTTAGGGTGTAAGGTTAGGACTTCCACCCCCGTGTCGGTTGGGGTCAGAGCTTAGGATTTAGTTGGTGAAGTTACGGCTAGTGGTGCATAAAACTGATAAATGGAAGTTAGTGAATATAAGAACCGTGTTCACGTCATTGACCTACCGGTGCAGAAGTTATCCAACAGCTAAAGCATACAATGACAATTCTCGCTTTAAACATTATTTTTCTAATTAAGGCTTATACCAAAGCCACTTGGACAAACTGGTAAAGGGCTGGCCGCACTTAACTGGCAAAGTCTTGACTGATGTTGCTGACGGGCAGCGCTTCCCCTTGCAGACAGAGATCAGCTCCTTGCCCCAGCCGAAGCCAGCGTAGAACTTCATGAAACCTGCACTGAGTGACTGGCAAACCCAACACTGATAGCAAAAACATGGAAGCCCTTTCACCCTTCTCAAAATTGAACATACGCCCTGGCCCGTCAGTATCCACAATTTCCTATACGAGCCCCGAAAAAGAGGGGCATACTCAATAACATGAGGTTGCAGGGGGCATTAATATTCATGGAAAGCGCGGATTGCATAAAGAACGAGGAAACATGCAGATTACTCAAGAGGAACATCAACGATAACGGCAACAAATGTGGTAAGTAAGCATCAGTACTACTGTAAATTGGGTACTGCCCCCACCCTATAACAGTCTATGCTAAGGATCATATTAAGGGCTGCATATAACCATATGAGCTATAGTCTAAGAGCCCAGTATCCCCCTTAACAGCCCCTAGAACACTCCCCTGTATAATTCCCTCTATAACCTCCCTTTAAGGAATTTAGACTATAGCTCATATTATGTATATTCTGCAACTGTTCTTGGGTGGGGCCGTACCCAAATTGCCACTGTGAACAACCCTCTGGCCTTGGAACAACTGGGCAGCACTCACAGGCTTCCTTGGCTGCGGTTGAGGGTTTAGGTTTTACAGGGTTTAAGGTTCAGGGTTATGAAGCTCTGAAGTTTGCGAAGGTGCGTGGACGTAAAAGGTGACATTCGATGCTCAACCACATACACTCTGAAAAAGTTTGGCATGAAATCTTCAAGGCTTGTGATGCTAGGGCTTGGAGGAATTTGGGGCAAAGATGCGGCTTACAGTCCATGGGCTCAGCATTCTTTCTGCAGGATCTAGGGCTTGGGGTTGAGCAGCGCGAGGAATTGTTGATATGACGGGATTTGCCACTGCCAAAGAACTGCTGACCCTATTTTCATGAACTAGCGAAGAACCGTTTCTGGCTGGATGCTTCAAAAAAAAGGAATAACAGATCTTTCCAAAATTTTCCAACGCGGAGAGTTGAAGTGCAACTGCAAGGGCAGGGCCATACAGTGCACCAGAAGTTTTTGCTTCTACTGCTGGCTGGCGAAACACATTAAGACCTCGCAACGAACACGATTGTTACCAGGCGGCCAAACAAAAAATCAATCTTTGTCACCAGCTCGCATGATCTCTGAGAAGATCTGACAGCTACAGTCCGGTCCATGATATTCGCCACATCAAATCCGGTGGGGTCGGGGTCCTTTGCAATCATCCTGGTATATTGCATGAAGTTGTTCGCTCATACTGAATTTGTAACTGTAAAATCTACCGTTCCACCTTGACAAAAGGTGCTACCAGGAATCAGTCTACAACATGCACTTTGGCGCACCATTCGTCTGCTTTTTGGGGAATGGTCTCGAAAACCATGATACCGAACCCACAAAGCCTCCCTTCTTGGGCTCGTGTGGCAGGGTTGACGACTTGCTTACACGGGCTGTGGCAATATGCAATGCGTCGCGACCCTTCCTGGCACCGTGGCGACTCGAATTTCGATCAGCAAACCCCAGACCCAACCACCCTCAAACCTAAAGCCCTATGAAACCTGCGCCCTAGACCCCGCGAATCAGGAACCCCAAGCCTTAAGCCCTAAACTTGAAGCCTTTCAAACCCTAAACCCCGAACCTTACGCCCTAAACCCACTGGGTTGTCCAGGTGAGCATCTTCTCCGAACAGTCAAGTGCTGCCGGCATCTTGCCGGAAGGAACGCCGCCTTAGGCGGTTATGAGGGTTTAGGGTTTCTATTTATACGGATCATTTGGCGAAAGAGCCAAGGATTTGAGGCTCTGAGGTTAGAGCTGGGCTTAGATTACAATGAGCCTTTGACAAAGCCTCACAAAGATTTCCGCAGTTTGGTCGTTTGGAATTGTTAAAGGTGTTTAGGCTTGTACAGGAAAGCTTCAAGAAGTTAGGGGCCCACAGCTGCTGCTTTCGCAGGTTCTGAACGACTAGTCACCAAGTAATGAAGGATTTTTGTCTTTGATGGAGCTGCAGAACAATACAGAATTTGGAACGTTGCGACTGCTCCAACTCCAGAATCTGCTCTAATACGTACAACCCACGCGGGATGGCAACGCGAAAATGTAGATGACGAATCTTGCCGAATTATGGTATCAGTCTACTATAATCCATATTATTGGGACTCCCATAATGGTACCATAAATTTGGGAAACCCTAAACCCTATACATCCTATATAACCTCTACTCAAACGAGGAAAGCAGAGTTGTGAGGCGTTTTCAGATGTCAACCCGCTAGGAAATTGAGCCGTATCAAAACCCACAACGGTCGGGCTCAGACAGGCGGCCAGTGGTAATGTTGCTACTATAGTCCAATAGGGTGGCTCAGATTATAGGGGTTATATAGGGATAATGGAAAAGAAAATGGAAACTACAATAGGTTTAGGGTTTAGGGTTTAGGGTTATATAGGGATAATGGAACGATGGAAGCTACTAGAGTATAATCTGTATATCCACTATATACGGTACCTGGAGATCCCTACAACTATTTCCCCGGCCTGGCTTGGAACGCCATATCGTCGCTACCAAGAGCTTTTCAGGGGTCCCATGCTAGCTTGGCACAAGCTAGTCCCTAAACCCTAAACTAGCTTGCCGAATTGGATCTTGGCAACCTGTGTGCAGCTTGTTGGAACTTGCACATAAGAAGAATAGCGCGCTAATACAAACCTGAGCAGTTGGGAGAGGACTTTGATGCATTTTTGCGAAGTAGTGTCGTGTAGCCATATAGGAACCATGAAGGAATATATGTGTCACTCTTCTCAGAACGTAAAATCCTCCACAGCCTGAAGCCCACATCCGAAACCCTGTAAAACCCTGGGCTATGCGGAGGAAAGGGCCTAGCATAATTAGCAATGGATTGGCTAAACAAAATTGTTGGTTTCCCTACATAGGGGGACCCCCAATATGGACCCAAAAAAACTATAATCCTTATTAAGGGGACCCCCAAAAAGGTATCCTTAATTGTGCGAGACCCCCAATTTGAGCCCTCAACTTAGGTAGGCCCATCCTCTCAAATTGTCGTAAGAGTCTAGCTCTTAGGGGTCTGGGTGCTCCTGGTTGAAGGCTTAAAGTTTTGCGCTTAGGGATGGCAACAATTCTGAAGCAAGCCCCACCTGCGACCCCAATAACCTACAACTTCAAAGTAGTTGGCCCTGAATTACTTGGTATAACCCTACACTCTGCCCCAAAACTGTAGATTTGCCGGGCTTACAGGTACTCAACGGAACACCTTCCCACACCCACAAAACCCTCAACCCTAAACCCTCAACCCCAAACCCTAAACCCGCA